AACTGACAAGAGATGAGTATTGATGGTATTAACTTGTGTTATTCATTAACAAAGAGATCGCTAGTTATACAAGAAAGTTCCTTGAAGAGGAAGGAAGAAATCTCAAGGATATGGAAAATATATATATGTGATAAATGTAAATATCGCTTGGTCAATATTTCCTTACTACCCCCCCCCCCTCCATCAAGATGGAGCGTGCAAATTTTGAATGCTCAGCTTGAGATGAAATGAATCAAATTCCTTGCGACCCAAAGCCTTGGTTAGAATATCCGCCAATTGCTCTTTCGTAGGAATGTATGACGCTTTGATCATAACATTCAATATCTCGTATTAGAGAGCTCTATATGCTTTGTTCTTTCGTGAAAGACCGGATTAGAACTAATATACAAGTCAGCTTTATTATCACAATGAAGAGTGATGGAGTCATGATGATCAATACCTATTTCTTGTAGAAGAGATTTAATCCATCGCAACTCTTTACATATAGCTGCCATAGCTCTATATTCCGCTTTAGCTGAGGAGCAAGATACTGTCTTCTGCTTTTTAGTTTTCCATGAAATCAGAGAGTTCCCGAACTGTACAATCCAGCCAATGAGAAATCTTCGAGATAATGGGCAACTGGCCCAGTCGGCATCACACCAACCTGTCAGATGCATAGGAGAATCAGTCCTTAAGAGAATGCCTTGTCCAACTGTCCCTTTAAGAAAACGAACTACTTTCAAAGCAGCTAACCAATGCTCTTTGCGTGGTTTCTGCATAAGCTGTGAAAGGATATGGATGGAGTAGGCTAGATCAGGACGTGTAGAGGCAAGATAAACCAGGTGTCCGATGAGACGATAATATGGCAGCGGGTCAAGTAGAATAGGGCTTTCCGTAAGGGCTAAGTTGTGATTCTGATCGATTGGAGAACCTGTAGGCTTATCTTCCAACAGAACAGTGTCAGTGACTATGTCAAGCGCATACTTGCGTTGAAATAAGTAGATACCAGATGGGTTCCGAGCGATTTCCACCCCTAGAAAGTACTTTGCAATTCCAATATCTTTCATGTGAAAGCATGTGGATCGATAGGCTTTGAATTCATGAATAGCAGGCGGACAATTCCTTGAAATAATCAAGTCATCAACATAGACCAAGACTTGAAGAGAAACACCACCATGGAAGTAGACAAACAAAGAATAGTCGGAATGGGTTTGCTTGAACCCATATTGGACAAGAGCATCTGCAAGTTTTGAGAACTAACATTTAGAAGACTGTTTGAGTCCGTAAATAGACTTGCGGAGTCTACAAACACGCTTATCACCTGGTATAGTGAAACCAGGAGGAGGTTTCATATATACTTCTTCTTCAAGATCTCCATGAAGAAAAGCACTATGTACATCCATTTGATGAATTTCATAATTTCTTTTGACTGCGATGTCAAGAATCAAATGTACTGTTGTCATCTTGGCTACCGGTGCAAATGTATCTTTGTAGTCAAGTCCTTTTTGATGATTTCCAAGAGCAACAAGACGCGACTTGTAGCGTTCTATAGTACCATCGGCTCGAATATTTATACGAAACACCCACTTACATCCAATAAGTGTTTGTTTGGAGGAAGATCAACTAAATCCCATGTGTGATTGTTCTCTAGTGAATCGATTTCTGCTCTCATAGATTTTTTCCACTCTTCATATTTCATTGCTTCTTTGAATGACTTTAGTTCAACTGCATTAGTTAGTGCAGCAAGATAACACTTATAATTTTCAGAGAAGCATTCTTCAGAAATGTAATGAGAGAGCGGATACCGCGTACCTGATGATAGCTGAGGAGTAGATGAATCAGAGGGAGACATGAGAGAGACTGTCCCAAGAAAGTAATCGCGAAGACGAGAAGAAGTGATCTTTGTTCGATATCCTCGACCAAGAGGAATATCATCAGACTAAACAGGAGAATTAGCAGACGACTCAGACTGGAGAAGATCAATATTAGCATCAGGTTCAGATACTACTAACTCGTCTGTAGGATCTTCACTAGTATTTTCTTCGTTAGTGTCGGCTACAACATCCTCAGTAGGAGCTATTATTGGCGACTCAGGTGCTTGGATCAGTGGTGTTTCTGGTGCTTTCTGAGAGAATGGGAACATTGTTTCATAGCACTCAACGTCTCGTGAAGTAAAGAACACTTGTCGATCAAGATCATACAAACGCCATCCTTTCTTTCCATAAGAATATCCTACAAAAAACACAACGCCGGCTTCTTGATTCAAACTTATCGCCTTTGTTATCAAGATTGTGTGCATACGCCATACAGCCAAAAATTCGCAGATATTTGTATGATGGTGGTTTCTCGTAGAGAATCTCAAAGGGAGTTTTGCCTTTAAGAACTTGAGATGGAGTTCGGTTGATTAAATATGCAGCATTGAGAACACATTCTCCCCAAAATTCTATAGGCAATGAACCTTGGAATCTCAAAGCCCGAGCAACATTAAGAATATGTCGATGCTTACGCTCGACGCGACCATTTTGTTGTGGAGTATGAACACATGATATCTCATGGTGTATGCCATTTTATTGAAAGAACCTAGACATACACATGAACTCAGAGCCGTTATCGCTGCGACTCGTCTTTACCTTCTTTGAGAAGTGACGATCAACCATTTGTAAAATTTTTTGAAGATGATGAGAGACATTCGTCTTATCAGGAAGAAGATAAAGCCACACTTTTTTAGAAAAATGATCAACAATAGTTAAGAAGTAACGAGAACCACAAAACGCAAGAGTGCGGTATGGACCCCAAAGATCGCAATGAATCAAATAGAAAATTTCTTTTGCATTAACTAATGAATCTGGAAAAGAATGCCGACTTTGTTTGGCACGAAAGCAAGTTTCACAACTGTCATGTAAAAGATTTAAAGCATTACTAGAAAAACTACTGATACCCGGAACTTTCCCAAGAACTTGAGATGAAGGGTGCCCCAAAAGACAATGCCACAGAACTATATCACTTGGAATTTCGTCCACACTAGTCTGATTAGAAGCCAGAACATTCTCAATCTCGCGAAAACAGTACAGTCCCTCTCTCTCACGATTACCCACTCCAATCAGCATCCTCGTAGTGCGGTCATGTATAATCAACAAACGATCAGTAATCTGTCCCACAATAGGATTGTCAGTAGCCAACTGACCAAAGGAAATCAAATTTGTATGTATTCCAGGAACAAGATAAACTTTTTTCAAGCACAAAGTAGAGGTGAGAAAAACAGTCCCCTGTTCCGAAGAGAGAACTTGTTCAGCAGCAGGTTGCTTACAAAAACATGAGAGATTGGACGTATGTCCTGAAGTAAATCTCTTTGTTCTGTCATAAAATGAGTGGCACCAGTGTCTATAACCCAAGAGACTCCACTTTTCTTACCACTTAATCGATCGTTCATGTTGGTTAAAGCGAACATATGTTGAATAGTACGCCATTGAGCATCTGAAAATCCCGACAAACCTTGAAGATCTGCTTCAATGAGAGGAGTTTGAGAGCTTGTTGATGCTGAGTTTGCAGCAATAATCTGAGCGCTGTTTGCTTTTGGTGTAGAGCCACGACCAAGCTCAGCTACTTGTCCTTGAGGTTTGTTCTTGCGTGGTTTATCATCCCACCATTCCGGATAACCAATAATTTTGAAACAACTTGACACTTCCTGTCCAGTGCGACCACATCCTGTACACACTCGAGAAGGATCACGGTTAATGGGATGTGAGGACGAGATTCGTGAAGAGCCTGCATTACTAGTATCATCATGTGAGTATGAGCGATTTGATGATGCAGAGAGTTGAGCAGCAAAACTCATTAGTTCAGCATCTTTCATCACGCCAGAATGGATGGCTTCATTCTGAACTACTGTCTGGTACACTATATTCAGATCAGGAAGAGGAGTGATAGCGCAAATCTGAGACCGTATTCCTCCATGGACAGCATCATCGAGGCCAGAGAGGAAGTCATGAACCTTCAACACTTCGAGTTCTTTATCACAAGCAGTATTGAGGTCACATTCACACTTATTGCAAGAACACCTTTTAGAGTTAGTACACTCTGAAATACTATCCCAAAGTTTAGTCAATCGACCAAAGTAATCATCGACGCTAGTCCCTTGTTGTTTGAAAGTCGCCAGCTGATTGCAGAGTTGTTGCAGTCTAGCTCCACTTTTGATCGAAAATCTCTTTTGGATGATATCCCAAAGATCCTTTGCGATTTCACGAGTGGATATCGTTGATCGAAGTTTAGGCTCAATAGTCAGCTTGATCCATCCAACTAAGAGATGGTTGTTAGCAGTCCAATCTTCAAGAGTAGGTGAATCAACTGAAGGTTTGAGAATGGTTCCATCGATGAATCCAAATTTCTTCTGGCTGCTTAATGCCATACGTAGGTTAATTTCCCATTCGTCATAGTTGAGACCATTAAGGAGAGGTTGCGATATAACTGCACCAGGATTGTCACCGGAAGTAAGGTCGTATGGTGATATTGTTTTTCTCTTCGGTTGGCCTTCAGCAACAGATGTGAGAGACATGGTGATGGATTAAGATACCATAATCTGTTTCTTAGATGAGAAAACAGAGAGAACGAGTAAAGAGAAGAAGAGGCCGAGTGGCTTTCTTCAAGGAATCGATAAATTTAGGCTTTCTGCTCTGATACCATGACAAGAGATGAATATTGATGGTATGAACTTGTGTTATTCATTAACAAAGAGATCGCTAGTTATACAAGAGAGTTCCTTGAAGAGGAAATAAGAAATCTCGAAGATATGGAAAATATACATATATGATAAGTGTAAATATAGCTTGGTCAATATTTCCTTAATAGAAACATTGAAGCAATGGACATTAATAATTTAAGGACAAACAATATTAAAACAATAACTAGTCCTTAAAATTTATTTTGGTACATGTGAGGATCAAAGCAGTTTCAGTTAAAAAAAAATCACTTTTGATGCAAATAGAAGACAACAGAGTATTGTCTAGGCGAGCTGTTTCGTCCAATCAAAGTGTTCCCATTCTCGTGCAAAGCTCACAACTGCCTTCTTTCTGGCTCTCCCATGACTCATGCATTCTTCTTCTTCTGTACATGTCTTCGTCCGGCAACTCTAGCATTCCTCTGATTACATTCAGTCCAAGATTGGTATTGAACTGTTGCTCATCATCAATCACGTGAGAAAACCCTTTGTCTAGACCAAACTCAACGTGGAAGGAAGGGAAATTCTTGGGAATAGAGTTCCCGAGACCCTTGACGCTTGTGTCTATGAGCTTCTTCGCATTGTGCTGACTCCACTCACTCTCAGCTTCATCAATCGCCTTCTTGAAGTAAAGAGGAATTTCGCTATCTCCACAACAGTTGACAAATTTAGAAGATAAATTACGTTATTACCTATGAAACTCAATACAAATTTAAGATTTGGTATCATTACCATAGTCTAGTTATTTGAATCACAATGGATGATATGAGCTAAAACATACGTGTATTGAAATAATATCTGATGTTCGTAGATCGACATGTGTTGTCTGAAGCAACCTTAAAGAAAGAAGCTGAAGAAAAGAAAAGTGAGGAAAAAGCTCTGAAATGATGCAAGATTTGTGCAGTTTTGTAAGCTATCAGAAAATCTAAAAATAAAATAAAAAAAGAAGTAGATAATAGACTTTACAACCATCTCCACTTTAGTGATGAACAGAGAAAACCCACCAAAAATTGACTAATTTTTAATACCAAATTAGAACTTTGGCTGAAAATTGAAGTAATAAGTAATTAAATAAGAGTAAAATTTTTAAGGCTGGTCAACTGAAAAGAGAAAGAGTGAATATAAAATATTTAAGTAATTAAACACAAAAACAAAAATATCTAACATAAATATAAAATGGATAAAAAAATAAATCACTAATTTGTTAAAGTCTAGATGCCTAGATCTAAATAATCTATTTAATCGCTAGGCTAGTTACGGGCTAGACATTTTTTGAACTTTGTGTAAGAGTGCAAATTTTAGAGTCAATTTGCTCAATACCCTAAAAGATGTTGAATACCTTAAGTTTGGGGAGAATTATTGATGATGGGGGGGGGTAAAAATTGGGGGAAATAGGATAGGGAGTGCAAATATAGGATTAGTTGTGTGTAGGGAGTGCAATATCCTAAGAGAGAACCTAAACTATACAATGAATGGTATAAGATGTGTTATGTCTGACTAACCGTAGGCATAGATGCCTCTGAGGAGATCAGACCTGAGTTCCATTGCATCAAAGCTATCACTGACTTCATCATAAGTGGTGTAGAAAGTTTCCTCTCCTTCCTCACCGAGTCTGCAAAAAAAAGATCATTAGGACTCAGTTATTGGTTAGCTACTTAGGTTAATACAGTGATTCAAATGATGGTAAGTGAAGAAATACTGACGGGGTGGACAAATGATCCAAAAGAGAAAGCTGAAAGATAAACATTAATAACTAAAGAAAAACATTTTATAAGCTCAACAATTATTAATTGTGATAATCCTACTTATAATATTTTAAAATTATATAATTCAAATCTATAAACACATATACATGATATATATAAAAGATATATCTTTTCATAAAATATTTTTCTGTACTAAAAAGAGAAAAAAAGAAGAGGATAATACAATATGTTGAATGAGATCTAGATAATATAATTTATTTCATTTTCTTCAAAATGTTTATATTAATATTGTATATAACTTAATATCATATAATATATATAAGTGTAAACAATTAATTTTGTACTCATTTAAAATATAGGTTAAGCTTCTTAATTTATATTCTAATAAAAATTACATCCAAATTTTTTTAAATAACAACCAAATTAATGATTTTCTGTTTTCAATAGTTTATTTTCAAACTTATTAATCTCCTAATTTATTAAAAAATAAAAAATAATTCAATTAATAGTAAAATTTTAAATATATATAACTTGAGCAATGAAAAATTTTACCTATTTAAAAAAAAATCTAAATATCTGAAATCCGATCTGGGAAAAAACAAGAGAATTTGCATTCCCTATTAAAAACTAATACCCTATTTGCCCCAGTTTTTATTCCTCCATCATCAATATTTCTCCCTAAACTTAAGGTATTCAACACCTTTTAGTATTTTGAGCAAATTGACTCAAAAAACAATACGTACTAAAGACAAGAAAAAATCTATAAATCACGGGAATATGAAAGGTATGTATGCATGGCATAATGTTTATAGTCGCTACATGTTCAAGGTTTTCTGTAAGAAAGTTTACCAATATGTTGTTTCTTTGGTGCTTTCCAAATTGGTGCAGCTTCTTTTAAAATACTTGTATTTGTCGTTTTTATATATAATAATATCAAAGAAATCAATTCTACGAATATTATAGTACATTCAACCAAAAAACAGATCTGCTGCCAAATCTTAAACATAGATCTGTAGCCATATTTTATTTTATGTAAAGACAAGCTTTTGTGCTTTAGGACCCAAGAAAAAATTCCTTAAGAACATATATATATATATATATATAACATTCACATGGTTCATGAGCTGTGTTTTGCTTATCTCTCTGAGTTTTATTCAGGCTAAATCAATCTACCATTTTTGCTTCTAAAAAAAGAACAGAAAGTAATTAGTATACTAATATCTCAGAACATATTATTGATGTAAGTGATGCAGTTAGTAAACCGAAACCCATTTATTAACATTAGTGATGTAAGCGTCTTACCACCGAATCCAAATCTGATTTTGTGTTGCATTTTATAAACTGTAAACAAAATAATTAGCATTCACCTAGTTATTATCATTCGTTTCAAGTACTTTTTTAAGGATCAGTTTATAGCTTACTATAACGCATTTCACGCCTCTCTATCAGTTAACATATCAATTAAATATGTTTTGAGGGATTCATTTAACAAGTATGAGAAGGACAGCTAGCGAGCGATTTGAGTCCGATAGGGAAACATTGAAGCAATGGACAGTAATAATTTAAGGACAAACAATATTAAAACAAGAACTAGTCCTTAAAAATTTTTTTGGTACATGTGAGGATCAAAACAATTTCGGTTAAAAAAAATCATTTTCGATGCAAATAGAAGACAACAGAGTATTGTCTAGGAGAGCTGTTTCGTCCAATCAAAGTGTTCCCATTCTCGTGCAAAGCTCACAACTGCCTTCTTCTGTCTCTCCAATGACTCATGCCTTCTTCTTCTTCTGTACATGTCTTGTTCCGGCAACTCTAGCATTCCTCTGATTACATTAAGTCCAAGATTGCTATTGAACTGTTGCTCATCATCAATCACGTGAGCAAACCCTTTGTCTAGACCACACTCAACGTGGAAGTAAGGGAAATTCTTGGGAATAGAGTTCCTGAGACCCTTGACGCTTGTGTCTATGAGCTTCTTCGCGTCGTGCTGACTCCACTCACTCTCAGCTTCATCAATTGCCTTCTTGAAGTAAAGAGGTCCTTCTTTCGCTATCTCCTGAGGGACTGGGATACAGTCGATCAAACAGTGGTGACGCTGCTGAGATAAGCCAATCACTGTCTCCAGAAACACAACGTCTTTTCCTTGTTTGGCAAACATCATTATAAGACACTTCTTGAAATTCCGAATCTCGTCCCAAACATTGTCGTCCACACTTGTGCTGGCTGCCTCGTGCTGCACAGTCAAAGAAAGCTCATCAATACAACAGGTAACAAAGGTCAAATATAGAGCCTCTTTAGATTATATACCTGCATTGGTAAGATACAGCAATGGCCTGGGACAAGGGGGGGCTGGTGTTGTGGTAACATGAGATAAGTGAAGTTTGCGATTGATACAACTAAATGTTTCGGCCGCTTAGGGTTCTCAAAACAGAAGAGACAGCGTTGTTGCTGTGTCATGACGCGATGCTCTTTTTCAGGAAGGTTGCTTTCCCGCTGCTTCCGGGACTTTTTCCTTGGAGCGTCTCCATAGTCATACTCATCATCAGCAGCATGATTAGATGTTTTGTACTGTTTGTTATGCATTATGCTTTTGGCTAGATGCATATCTGTATTATCATCTTCATTCTTCCTCCTACCTGAGGTGTCTTTGATAGTAGGATACCTAATGAGTCAGGAAGATAATGATATATCAAAATCAAAAGAAAATTGAAGTCAGAGAAAGAAAAAAAAAGTAAACTTACCTTGCTGCTCTGATGTAGTGTTGTTCTTTCGATGAGTCGTCTCCAAGAGCTTGCTTTGCTTTCAGCCTCTCTGCTTCTTCCTGTTTAAGAATTATATTTGGGGAATACATCTGAACATGATCAGGCAAAGGACTCAAGGCTAGAGAATGATGTGGAAAATAAAGAAGGTAGTCTTACCGTAACTTTCTGGGCTTGTTCAAGTTTCCCTTTCAGACGGAGTTGTAAGGCTTTAGCAGCCAGTTGATTCACACCTAAAGATTCCATATTGGGAAGAGTCCCTGAAGGTAATGATGTTTTTTGCTCCATGTGATCCCCACCACGAGTCTCTTCTACGATCTCCATTGATTCATTCTTCTGCTTATTAAAGTGAGCAGCAGCTTCAGATATGAGCAGGTTAGAGTAATGAGATTGGCCCTTTCTTTTCCCCCAGGATAATAAAGGATCAGTTTTATGCGCTCTCAATACACAATGATGATGCAGTGAGTCCTCACCCTTCAAGTACTCCCGACCATTACCCTTCAATAAAACACGTACGCCACAATTAAAGTCAGATTATTGGCTGTTACACTGATACGAGCAAAAGCAAATCTTGTAAAAGCAGGAGTCTATGTTAACTTGACAAAAGAGAGACAGAAGACGGTTTCTTATAGATAAAATTAAACAGGAAAAATATAAAACCGATCAGAAGAAGGAACAAAGACAGTTTAAGTACCTTGTCAGAAAATACCCTTTCTGAGGGTTTCTTTTCGTTATCGTTGTCTTCATTTTGGCCTCTTCTTCTTCTATTATTAATGGCACTCAAATGAGCACGAGACGGAGCTGCCCTCTGAGATGCTACGGACTCAACAAGGTTACAAAGTGAACCAAATCGTTCTCCAACAACCTGCATACAATAACCCACCCTCAAAGGATAAGGCCAAAAAAAAAAAAAAAAATCTCATCCCAAGAGAGTATTATGCTAAGTCATAACACACGAAACTAACCTCATCAAGTTTTTGCCCTTGTCTTGCAGCCTGTTCCTTTGCACGCTTGAGCGCTTTCATTCTCCAACTCGCACCTCCATCTCCAACAACAGAAGAAGTTGGTAAGAGATGATCATCTTTACCATTTCTTTTCTCAGCTTCTTCCTCTGGGTAACCCGTTCCATTTTCTTTCAAATAAGGATTCAGCTCCCTTGGGTTTACTACTTTAACAACCTACAGGTCGAGAAAAACAAAAAACTATATATATAACCAGGTACATTGAAATTTCCCATATAACTAATTCTGTATCATTCATTAATCGAAATCACACCTCTTCATCTCTACTTTCTTCCAGTACATCTAAAGCATCAGCCTTTCGGGTTGGTGGCAGCATCCAATCGAGACCAGTGTTCTTTCTAACAATATCCCCTTCCATCTTCTTACCGTCTCTCTTGTTGGAATTGTGATTAAGAAAAACAAAAATTTGCCTTAAGAAGAAGAGAAAAAAAATATGATTTCTGAAAGCTAATATTATTACTAATCGATTGTATTCTTTACCTCTAGAGAGCTTACATATATATAGTAAAGCTTTAACATAATTCTTCTAGGAAGAAGAAAAAGTTTCTTGAAGTAGCAAAAAGGCAAACTATTTTTCAAAAAAAAAAAAGTAGCAAAAAGGAAAACTAATAAAATTGTTAACTTAACTAAAATTTAATTGCATAATAATAATTTATTGTAAATGAACTAAAATTTAATTGCATAATAATAATTTAATTGACATGTCTTCCTGATCCTCACGTGTCTTCTTCTTCTTAACTTGCTCAGTTTTCTCACAAGAAATCAACGGTGATGGTGAGATCCCAACACTCCTTTCTGTTAACGTCTTTGTTCTTTCCACTATCATGGACATAGAATTTTATAACTGTTATTATCTAAATATATGAGTGTTTGAACTTTAATTACTTCACAGATGCAATTCAGCGAACAAATGGTATGCATAAACAAACACAATATAATGATAGACAGAGACCGAGTATCTGATCTGGGTTATTACAATGAAATTACTATCTCTGCTCCTTTCCTTGTACAATTAGAGGGACAATACGTGCATTGAGTTTTTGGAAGGAGAGAGACATAGGTACTGATGGGAAGCGGGTCGAACCTGCCCCACCCTACCCGTCATGCAGCTGGTTGAATCATTTTTTCCATTGAAACACCAAAGGTTGCCTTAACTTTATGATTAACTCAAGTTATTTTATAAAAACGGCATTGTATCGCGGAACGTTTTCAATAAAAATCGTAAAAACGACCAAAATCGTAAAACGGCCTAGAAGGTCCTAAAACGCAATAAAAGCCCACTTACGATTTTAGACGAAATCCAGCCCAACGATATAATGATGGTTTTTCCCTTATTTGCAGGAACGGATAAATGTCAAGTTTGGAAAAAAAAACGAAAGTTTTCTAAAGGATAACTATGAAGATCGAGAAAAACGGAACTTTTCCGCTATAAGGTAGATTCGGCCCACCAGCGGAAATGGAAAGCCCAGTTCAACCTAATGAGGACTATATAAAGGATGCTAGAGGCAAAGGGAAGAGGGATCCTTTTTACAACTCAGAACTCTCTGTACTTAGAAACTTAAGCTTTATTCTCGACAAGTTCGGTTTCTATGACTAGTATTCAATTACTAGACGAACTCGCCTAGGCAGTCCGATCTCTTTTCCAGCTCTACCAATTGAACTACGTTTGGCTTGATCCTCGAAAAGGGTACGTAGGCAGCCTTTCATAAGGTCTAGTTGAAATCAATCAAACTCATTTTTCTTATCTTTTTCGTCCTTTGTTATCGAGCTGCTACTCAACTAGGTTTAAGGTTTTATGTTCACTACAAGAAATATCGGCTTTGTTAGCACACCGAAAACGCTACGAAAGGGTTTTATAGCGTTTTTAGAAACGCTAGGTCTGTCGCATCTATGGTAGACCCCCCCCCCCCCCCCCCCCCCCCCC